GTTAATGACGTACTCTTCGCCAAACCCTCACCCAGGCCTTTTCCCCAGTCTCCATGCAGGTCTCCGTCGACGCTGTTGACTGTTAGGGTGAAAGCAGTTAATGACGTACTCTTCGCCAAACCCTCACCCAGGCCTTTTCCCCAGTCTCCATGCGGGTATCTGCGAACGTTGTTGATTATAAGGGTGAATGCAGTTAGTGAAGCACTCTTCGCCAAACCCTCACCCAGGCCTTTTCCCCAGTCTCCATGCAGGTATTTGTCGACGCTGTTGACTGTTAGGGTGAAAGCAGTTAATGACGTACTCTTCGCCAAACCCTCAACCAGGCCTTTTCCCCAGTCTCCATACAGGTCTCCGTCGACGCTGTTGACTGTTAGGGTGAAAGCAGTTAATGACATACTTTTCGCCAAACCCTCACCAAGGCCTTTTCCCCAGTCTCCATGCAGGTGTCTGTCGACGCTGTTGACTGTTAGGGTGAAAGCAGTTAATGACGTACTCTTCGCCAAACCCTCACCCAGGCCTTTTCCCCAGTCTCCATGCGGGTATCTGCGAACGTTTTTGATTATTAGGGTGAATGCAGTTAGTGAAGCACTCTTCGCCAAACCCTCACCCAGGCCTTTTCCCCAGTCTCCATGCGGGTATCTGCGAACGTTTTTGATTATTAGGGTGAATGCAGTTAGTGAAGCACTCTTCGCCAAACCCTCACCCAGGCCTTTTCCCCAGTCTCTATGCGGGTATCCGTCGACGCTGTTGACTGTTAGGGTGAAAGCAGTTAATGACGTACTCTTCGCCAAACCCTCACCCAGGCCTTTTCCCCAGTCTCCATGCAGGTATCTGTAGACGCTGTTGACTGTTAGGGTGAAAGCAGTTAATGACGTACTCTTCGCCAAACCCTCACCCAGGCCTTTTCCCCAGTCTCCATGCGGGTATTGGCGAACGTTGTTGATTATTAGGGTGAATGCAGTTAGTGAAGCACTCTTCGCCAAACCCTCACCCAGGCCTTTTCCCCAGTCTCCATGCAGGTATTTGTCGACGCTGTTGACTGTTAGGGCGAAAGCAGTTAATGACGTACTCTTCGCCAAACCCTCACCCAGGCCTTTTCCCCAGTCTCCATGCAGGTCTCCGTCGACGCTGTTGACTGTTAGGGTGAAAGCAGTTAATGACGTACTCTTCGCCAAACCCTCACCCAGGCCTTTTCCCCAGTCTCCATACAGGTCTCCGTCGACGCTGTTGACTGTTAGGGTGAAAGCAGTTAATGACGTACTCTTCGCCAAACCCTCACCAAGGCCTTTTCCCCAGTCTCCATGCAGGTATCCGTCGACGCTGTTGACTGTTAGGGTGAAAGCAGTTAATGACGTACTCTTCGCCAAACCCTCACCAAGGCCTTTTCCCCAGTCTCCAAACAGGTGTCCGTCGGCGCTGTTGACTGTTAGGGTGAAAGCAGTAAATGACTTACTCTTTGCCAAATCCTCAGCCAGGCCTTTTCCCCAGTCTCCAGACAGGTCTGTTACTTGGTGGATGTCAGATATCGACGAACCCTTTATCAAAGCCTCATTCAGGTCGTAATTGAAAGCAGTTAATGACGTACCCCTTGCCAAATCTTCACTCTTCGCCAAACCCTCACCCAGGCCTTTTCCCCAGTATCCGTTGAAGCATCCTTCTGTACTATTGCCTACGTAGTCGACTGTTAGGGTGAAATCGGTTGGTGACGTGCTATCCGCCTTTCACTTTCACTGAGGCGTTTTCTCAAGCATCTAGTTACATCTAGTTTGTCGTGCAAACCAATTATCTGTTTTCGTGATATCTCTTTACAACCAGGCGGATAGATGGATGAAGTTTCGACATTAACCTCGTTTTGGGCGTCAGCGATACCTTCGCTGATTCTGTAAAACATTTTAGCAGGGGGATCTCCTGTAATCAAGGGAAGACCTTTTGCATTGTTTTTCCTTCCTCGAACTAAGGGGTGCTTGTCAGTGAGGATCACATTACCTCCATCGTCCCCATGTAAGTGTTCTTCGTATAACTTTTCCTTTCTTGCGCTGCGGTAATCAGTCACGTTGACGTTAAAGGATGGGTGATTTGTTTTGTCGTTTACAAGGTAAGGATCCTCTGAATGGCATTTATCCAGCGGTAAATACCTTCCCTGGTTACAATGACTCAGCCAAGTTACTATTGAGTGCACCCCTAATGTCCTACAAGGAAAATAATATGTACTTATTGACTGCGTGGAGGTTGCCCGGACGGGAAGGTGCTTGGCGCAGCTCAGCGAGGTCTGGACTTCAGGATCCAGAGAAGTAGGGTATGCTCAGTCCAAGAAAAATTCCGTGGTAACATCCAAAAGGATGTTACCTTGTTTGGTTAACTTTGAATTATTACTTTTGAGCTTTTAAATTGAATCATCTAATTACAAATTTAAACAAAGTTTTATATCTCATTAATGTACCGATGCACTAGCTCTCCGGCTTACGTTTCTTCTCAATGGCTACCTAAATTCCTCTTAATTAGTTGGTGAAGAAAAAGTTCAGACCTTCTTTTTCTTTTGTTTCGTTTGGTTTTTTTTTTTTTTTTTAACCTTTTTAAAGACAACTTTCTTTTAGAGCACCTGACAGGTTATATGACTTCTGGGAGGTTAGAAGTGAAAAAAAGACCGAGAAAGGCTAAGGTTTTTCCTTCCCCTTATCTGATGCCAAAAGTTTCAAGCAGACGAACCAAGCGATCAGGCATGTGTTTAAATTAGTTTTTTTCGAATTTTCCTAGAGTTTGTTCCCTACGACAACTGTACCTCTATCCTTCAAGAGCGAACTGTGGTACCTTTGTCATTGAATCACGCGAGACGTTTACTACGGCCTGTATTGCGTGGAGATACACCAAGATCTAATTTTCAAAAGTGCGATGCTTAAGGTTATTTATGATGACTAACCTCGACGAGATGCCATCAAATATAGCGATGAAAGGTGGCCTTTCCACTGGAGCATAGACCCAGCATTGATGTATCATGGTATACAACCAAGTAGGACAGCATTCAGGCTGGCGTATCATGTGTTTGTCTTGCACTTGAGGCAACATCTGTCGTGAAGAAACGTACCGTTCAGATGCCTACTGTGCGTCATTGTAATTTCTATATCTTACATCTCAACACATGACTGGGAGATTCTTTCGCCTTCTTTGCAGCTTATAAATTGCTGTAAGTAATACATATCAAAGCCACCAAAATCCTTAATCTCACTGAAAACCACAAACATACCTTTGCGTTGTATGTAGGAAGAGGGGTTGGGCCGAATTCTGGTCTCATTTCCTCTAACAATAAAAGGACAATAACTCAAATTAAAGAACTCGTTATATGTATCAATAAACTTATCGTCAAATTAAGAAATGATTTAAGAAAAAAATTGCACAATTAGAATCGTGTTATATAAGCCTGAGAACAACTCAGAACCTCACCAAGAAGCGAATCATAAAACTCCAGGTAAACCCGGAGCAATAAGTACCTGATAGTTTTCGCATTTCTTGTAGCCTATTTTGGACATCAAACAAACTGCTGCAGTATCTCTGCCACTGCCAGTACTGGATTGACAACTCGTATCTGTCATCATCGAAATACGCTTTTTGAGGCAAAACATCACCGTTGTCTGCAACCTCAAAACCAAAAAGGAAAGAGACTTTAAAGCTAACCCTACAATTACCAGCGCCTTACCTTCAATTTTTTTCACAAGAAAGCGTATGGTCAATACACTGGTCGTTTATCTCTTGGCAGACAGCCTTTTACAGTAAAAGGGTTTGAACCCAAGGGTAACATCTGAAGTGTATTCTGATCGTCCCTTCCTGAGAAGGACTGTTTCGATATTAGTGACTGATGTTTCGACAACCTGTGCGGAAGTCATCATCGGAGTCAAGTGAAGTGTTGTTGTCAGTTGAGTGTTAGAAGTCCGGTACGTATAATTCCAGTGCGGAATAAAAACACTTGACTGACAGCTTGAAACAAGAGTAATTTTAAAAAGCTGCAATTCCCTTCACTTTTATGAGAGAAAAAGTAATGAAATGACGAGTATTTACACTTGTTTGACACTTACATACACAAACAAAATGTTCCTCGCAGGACGGCACAGACAAGTCAACACCCATAAATCGGAAGAAGTGCAATGTTTTGTTGACCCTTGAGTCAAATTCCATTGAACAGCTAACCCCGGATTATCTGACGTTGTAACGAGTTCTAGAAAAAAAAAATAATGATAATAAAAACCAAAGTTCAGGAGTTTGGCAAATGTAAGGCCGATCAATTGCTTCATTTCATAGCGGAAATGATTCCCCCTTAGTAAACTTGATTATTGAATTATTACAAATACGATCAGTTCCTCACCTCTAGTTGATTGTATACGAAGAAGGTCTTCAGTGCAGCCAAAGGAGGCTCCCATCATAACAGCTTGGGTTTCCTGATTAAATTTTTCTACAAACTGTCCACCTTCAGCTGCGAACTTCCGACTGTGTAACCGGCTGTATTTCATGTATTTAAACAGGAGGCACCACTTCTCATACTCCGTGATTATACGATATTGAATACTTTCCTGCTCTGGGCCCAGGAAAAACGAAGTATCACATCGATTGAGACTTCTCAGGTGTTTCAAGCCGGACGCCTCACGAATGAAGCTATCTTGGAAGAGGGAGAGTTGCCATCCTTCTAAGGTCGGTAACACAACTTTCTTGGACACTGTAGAATTTACTTTTTCTCTCTTAAAATGTCCAGTCCCACAAATATACATCAGACTTTGACTCACAGCTGCCTTCTTGATTCCAAATTCCTGATCTTCATATGCCGATGCAATTTCGCTGAGCTCATCTGCTTGGTAATTCATTTCTATTTCGGAAAAAAAGTACAATGGGCTGTATTAACTACAGCCATGACTACAACTGTTGACACTTGTGTTCCGTGAGGGGGTTATAATATAAATAAAGATACAATTTTCCCAATAAAATAGAAAGAAGGAGAAAATCTGCGGTGAAAAAAAATCGGTTTAAGACAGAAAACATTATTACAGGGTACCTTTAGAAGTCGCCCAAGGAATATTATCTTCAGACTCGGAGCTTCCACTCTCGCAAGTTTCGTTGGAAGAGGTGTCTATGTCTCCTAAATAACCAGTGTCCTTTACAACATTAATCTCAAGATGATTGCTCTCTTCTTCAGTGTTGAGGCCTGTTTGGTAAAAAAGTAAAAAATTAAAAGAAACCAGTAATACGTTACTGCTTATACGTCACCCTCCTCTACGATCCTAATGGTCGGCGGTTACTTTGGCATGAACATAATTTCACAACTTGTGAGATGTATACATATCTAAAAACATAATCTAACTCAGCAGCACTAATGCTGTTCACTCACCGGGCTGCTTTTGTGCTTCCTCTGCAGCTCTCACAAGCTCAGACCAATCGATTGTCTGGGGGTAGTTTTGGGCTTCACTAGCCTCTTTGGAAAATCTAGGCAGCAAAAATGTGTTTTAATTCATAGGAACTAAAGAAACACGCTATAATTAAAAAGAAAAGGTAATGAGTCCGATAACCTTAAGGTAGCCGCCATGTTAGATCATTTTATTAACGCACTTCTTGCGCCTGTCAACCTGAGTGACAAAAAACTCACTGCAACAGTCTAACGGCTGATATCAACCCCTCGGATCTCTCTTAGAAGTAAAAGTGAATATACTATTGTATATTATGACTGTATCTCAGCACGCTGAATAACCCCAATCTTTTTGCAAGCTTAATCGTATTTAAATCACTTCATTCCAAAGTCAAGTGCAAATGAGTACCTGCTAGTTATCTCCTCAAGAAAAGTAGCTGTCTTCTCGTGCCCATACTCCCTGGCAATAGCTTCGGGAAGAGCTGAGCTGTCTTTGTAACGATCATAAACTACTCTTCCGGCGGACGAGTTGAAGATCATTTCAATGAATTGTTGACCACCAATTTCTGCTGCAGCGTAAACTAAGACGCATAGCATCTGCACAGGTTCTGTGGAACCTAAATAAAAGAGGGTATCTACAATCATGGGCCAGAAACAGTCATCGAATGAATTCCCCAAACTAAGAGCATCGCCTGGCAAGAACAGCTAAGTGCTAAATTTCATCCAATCTTCTGCTAACACTTCTAATAAAGTCAAAATCCGGTGTGAAACCAAAATGTTAAAATTGTTTTCACAGAGGTATAAAATCTTTCTTAAGATGAATATTAAGTATGACAATGCCATACGTTTGGAAGGATGTTGATTGCTTTAACGTTTCATATTTTCAGAAATTGAAGGGTATGTACGTGTATGATCCATCAAATATTTTTTCTAACGGGCAATTGGTCTAAACGCAACACCTGAATGAATATCTCCCAATTAAACTTCAAACCTTACGTCTACTACGATTAGCCATTGTTTCAGATTTATTCGAGAAGGGAGAGGGTTAGGTGGTTGTTACAGAAGAAGGGAAATCTTTTTTGTTTGTTCACTAGGTCATAACTGAAAACACTCAAAAGAAAATTTTTCCTTGAACTTAATCTGTTCCTCGAAGCTTTCAGTTTTCTTCGAGCTTCGCTCGCAGAAAATCTGTTCGCATCTTGGAACAAATAATTTCTGCGGGCAAATATCTGTGCATATTTTCGCGCCCTAGAGAGGCTATCGTCTATTTGTAACCCAAACATTCATATCTCGGACAATATATCTCAGCCACAGACATTATCAAAATTATAAAAATTGATTGATAGATTGATAGTAAGATTAATTGTGGGATTGATTCAAGATTCAAGCCCTGCAGAATTCTCGACTTTTTCTTAAAAAAGAAAAGGCAATCATTTAGGATGTCTGCCTTGATTTGGGTCAATTGGTTTTCATGAAAATTAGAGGTATTCAATGAAGCACCACTCACCAAAAATTCCAGAGTTTTGTGCTTCAGCGACACTGGCTGTTGTAGTGTTACTATTCCTCAACTTCTCAGAAAGATATTGAAAAATATCCGCCTGTAACACCGGGTCACTAGTTATCCGTTGAAGAATTTCTTTTCTTTCATTGTAGTACTCAATTTCCGTTTCGCCTCGCTTGGTACCATCTGCTCGTCGTAAAAATACTCTAACCACTCCTGCTTCTTTGGAAGCTATGATGAAGAAAAAAGCAAATTAATGACTATCATGATCAAAATAGCTCCAGTAGAGCCAAAAAGAGTATACAGTGTATGTCCCAGTATAGAAGAGGGTATGGAGTTCCATACTTTAGGTCCTTGGAAGAGTATAGAAAACTTTTTCTGCATTGGTGCGGCGGTGGTGAGATCAGTAGAGGAGTCGTAGAACTCTGCGTTTTCTCGTTCAGTTGTGATGGATTTGATTGGCAGGTCGAAAATTTTGGCGAAAACAAAATAGTAACAGATTATTGTGATAAGATACTTGGAGGAGCTAACCTGTAGGAAATAATTATTTTAAATGTCTAGCATTTTTTCATTTCTTAAAGATAAGTTTACTAGGTGCTCTCTAATGAGCCTTAGAAATTAATCGAGCAACACACTTTTGAAGTTAATAAATTATTCGTATATTTGCGACATAAGCTGAGGCCCAGATTAAACTACAGAATGTGATATATTGCGAAATTACTGCGTAATATAACGAGCAGACAGAGTTTTTAGGCTAATAATAGCTAGCTACATATAGGAACCCAATAGAATTGGCCATTGTCTTTCACAAATAAGATCTTTGCGTGTTTGCCATGTTGAGTGTCAATCTATATAAACTCCTAAAAATTTTGCTATATCTGCTAGCTCTACAACATGATTATCTACAATTAGTTAGTTTATTTGAAGTATAGACGTTTTTGCTTGGGCCTAAAGATAATAGCTTGCAGCCAGGTAGACACATTCAAAATTTCAGAATTTAATTCGCTCATAGGAGCATTTGGTCCTATGTCTACCCGGACGATCAGACTACATAATCCAACAAAATATTCCACCCCTCCCCCTGAGTTCCAACCATTCATTGTATAGGTAGGAAGAATCAACATACGTGGAATTTTCTTTCCAACAAGGGAGTCTCCGCCGCACCTCTCAACTTCAACAGTGTCTAGATTCTCGAAGATAGCTAATGCAGACTGCACATTCCCGGGAAGCGCTCGACCAAACGAAAAACGACAGAATTTACCACCCTGGAAAACAGAAATCTGTGGCATTACGAAAACTAAATCATTCAGGATGATCACCATACCATGTAGAGCTAGACAAATTAATCCATTTCAATACAGCCAGAATTTCCTTAACAGCGCAAAAACTACTAAGTAGTTTAAACTGATTATTTCTCTATTCATTTCTATGTTTATAGGGTTTCACAGTAGAATAACCTCACTATGGCTGATTTCCATACAAAAATTCCAGTACAATTATAGCAATATAACATGTATATGACAGAAAGCTACCTGAATAAGTATTTCAATCACATACGGTTTGCTCTGAAACAATAAAAAATACCTCACTACGATAATTTTTTTACACCCTTACCTGTAGAGGAACTCTTTCCGGCTCGACACTCAGGTGAAAGTACTCATCTTCATGTGGCGACAGATCATCTGCGGAACATCAACGAGATTTTAAAAAGAATCATGGACATTCAATTTGTACAGATTCCCACTAGTTCGTTTGTTGCCTTCTCTGAAATTATAGTTCATCACCGATCGTTACAGATAAAAAAGTGTCAGTATAATTTCAAATTAACCACAAGCTGGGCGCTCGACCAATTGGAAATCATTCACCTGATTACTTTCTGAACTGTACTCCACTTAGTCCTAGTAACGACTACTTATAGATATATAAATGTGTAAGGATTTATGAGGGTGATTTGAGTAACTTTCCACACAAAGCTGCAAGCATGGTTTACAGCCTCTTACCTGAGGACAAGTTGTGATCAAGTCCAGAAATACCACTAGTAGTATTGTGATTATCGGCTGAGCTGTCAGACATCTATAACAAGAAACAATGTAAGGTCATGTAATGATAGGCGTAAAAACACTGATCAACATTTAAAACACCCATCTTGCTATACTTTAGACAATAAAAGAACACTTTTAATTTAAATGCTATTGCCTTTTGATTCTTGACATTCAACACTATTAAAAAAAACCTTATAAGGCTTTTGTACATAATGCTTTTGCTTCTCCACTTAAATGCTCCCTTTAATGCTCCTCTTTTCCCTACAAAAATGCTAAGTCTCCTCTAAATAAGTCTCTACCATTAGTTTAGTAGATAAATTTGTCTCATTCATCTCTTCATTCATTGAGAGAAATATTACCTCAAAGGTATTAAACAAGGCTCTGCATGTTTGCCCAGCTGTTCCACAGTATAATAGCATGGCATATTTTTTGCTTTCTCATAACGTTATTTGGTAAAATGACAGTAGTAGCATAATAAAGACATTCGTTACATCCATTTTGAAAACACTGATGATTCTTGCAATCTGATTGTTTCTCAATGATGTGATTTATTCAGGAATCCCACCATTTTGTGCTCTACATCGCATCCTTTTTTACAGTCTATGAGATAGCTACTCTTAAACAAAACAAAAAATCAGATTTCAAGGCTAATGTTAAAATTAACCAATCAAATTCCACGGCAATGAAAAACAACATTCTTCAAACCAGCTCAGTACTGGATCAATAAAATATTTGTACAGACTACTAATTCCCGTGTTTAAGCCGCTGAATATTTCTATGTCAAAATGGATGTAATAAATGATTGATATTTTTGACAAGGTAACCTTTATAATCAAGCAATCACATTCCAATTTTTTGGCTTGCTAAGAGATGAGAAGATATTACTTCCATTGATTGATCCAACACTGTTTCCAGGTTTAGACCACCACCTGCTTAAGGTAAAAAATATATATGTATACTAATGTTCTTCAAAGAAAATATTTAAAAACGTTTTTAATGGGCATTGGACGAAAGTAACATCTAAGTCCTTCGTGAGGAGGCGAACCAAGAACTTTTAGAATCAACAGTGCGATTTTCTACAAATGAGCTAGAGAGAAAAATAATGCTGAGCAACACCATACACTAGGCTAACACAAACTAATAATTTATCTGATAAATTGCCGAGCAATACTAAAATCAATGTATATATCTTAAATAACAAAAAAGAAAAACTTGAGATTCAGGTTTACCCGCAGGGGCTGCGTTTTGTGGTTCCGTAAAACCTGGGGTGGATACCAATCTGTCTATACAAGCAATGTACTCTGACGTTGGAGAGTCATTCAAGGGATCCCAGCTATGTTATGAAAATGGTGTATATTTCCATATTGAAATAAATTTTTACAGATGCTAAAAGGTCTCCAGCAAGATAACATTTATCTGGATAATGGGTGAATGGAGAGAGGTGCTGTGGGAGTAAAGTGTCTCGCCAAAGAACACAGCACATTGACCCCGCCTAGTCTTATATCTGGACCTCTTGACACAGATTCTAGTGAAGGTCTCTGGAGCTCTCAGTCAGTGGAACGTCCATAGCTAAATTCCCATTTTCCCAATTTTATGGTAATTAATCTACAGAGAGGCTGAGATGTTTCTCTATATAATACATGTACATGTATCATATCTGCAAAAAAGTTCTCATTGCTTGATCTAACTAATCATTATATATGTGCTACTGTTTATAATGGGTCTTATGTAACCTGATTTTGATCTACCTGCATCTGCTATGTGTAGTGGATTTATCAGATTATAATTTGTGCTGGCTGGCAATGGCCCATTAAGAATGTTGCCTTCTTGCATTGGATAGTCATTCTGAGGTTGCAAAGTATTGTGAACCATGACTGTTGCACTTGTATCACTCATTGAGGTTGGTTGGTTCAAGGTTGACAAAGCCACCAAATAAAAAAAAAAGATATGGGAAAGAAAATTGTCAATTTCATTGATGTATATAGGACCAAACTATGTTTTTCTGATACAAAGATCACCTCCTGATAAACTACAAATTTCCTACCTGGTGCTGAGCTGATGGTAGCATCATTGGTTTCATTGGTTGCTGATTCTTGTGGCATCTGAAACACAAAGAAAACAAACAATACATGTGTAATGCTGCTTTTTAATCTTAATACGATAATGACCTTGTAAATTGCAACTAAATAAATTAATCCACAAATTAAATTATTGGATATACTTAAAAGCTGGTCGTGAAAATAGTGTGCACCATTGACATAGCTAGTAAATTTATGGGATTTCGCAGTAGAATAACCTCATTATGGTTAATTTCCATAAAAAGATTCCCCTACAATTATAGCATTATAACATACAAATGATAGAAAGCCACCTGAATAAGCATTTCGTATAATGAGTTCGTGAGAGACAAAAACAACATCAACAAAACTATTAAAATGTTTTTTGCGACCAACCAAAAATCTGTAGCATTTAAAAGTTCGATTAATATCAATAAAATATTTATACGGACTACAAAATCCTGAATTCAGTGAGCAACTGAATTTTCCGATATGAAAATGGATGTAATAAATGGTTGATAATTAAATGACAAGGTTGATAATGAAATGACAAGGTAATCATTTTTAACGTAAAATCTGGGGTGGATACCATTATGTCCCAAAGAGCAGTGTAGTCCAGCATTGGAGAGTCATTCAAGGGATACATGTTACTTTGATCCATGAATATTGCACTTGATTCACTTGAGGTTGGTTGGTTCATGTTTGAAGAAGCCACTGCATTAAAATCATGGAAAAGTATTATTTTAAGTTTATCTACACCATAACATAACCACAAAAACATCTTGTTTTGTTGATCTACCAATCTAAGACATGCATACACCAATGTTTATAATGGGAGATGTAACCCCATTTTGATCTACAAGTACCTGCAGCAGCTATGTTTAACATTTAACATTTCTCCAATCAAAACGACTTAAACGGTTCTCTTTCAGTATGATTTTCGGCGCACCACATGCAACATAAGTCCTCACTGCATCACACATTCGCTCCATCAGCTTTTCAAAGAAAGGTATAACACCCTCTCCTACTATTAATGCACCTACAGAAACGTTCGCACATGCACATCAGTCTCATCATTCTGCAAACTTACAGACAATAGAAGCTGCACCTTTCCTAGATATGTACCTGGCAAATATGAGTCTTATTATCTTTCCACCTTAATTCAATGGGATAAGTTGACATACCTGTGTGGTAGTTATCATCTGCCATTTGAGAGTGCCAAGAACCTACTTCCAACAATTTTTCCACAAGTGTTTCCAGGTTTAGATCACTGTCTGCTTAAGATAAAAAATATATGCAATGTTTATCAAAGAAAATATTTAAAAATGTTTTCAAGAGGATTGCAAAAAGATAACATCTGAGTCCTTTGTGAGGAGGTAAACCAAGAACTTTCGGATTCAACAGTGAGATTTTTTACAAATGAGCAAGAGCAAAATTGATGCCAAGCTAGACCATACCACAGGCTACCACAATAATTCATCTAATAGATTGCCAAGAAATACTAAAATCAATGAAGGTATCTTAAATAACAAAAAATTAAAAAATTGAGATTCAGATCTACATGCTGGAGCTACGTTTTGTGGTTCTGTTGTACTGAAATCTGTGGTGGATACTGATGTGTCCTGAGTATTATGACAGTCTTGCATTAAAAGGTTATTCCAAGGTTCCATGTTATTCTGAACCATGAATGTTGCACTAGAATCACTCGAGCTGGGTTGGTTAGTGTTTGGAGAAGCCACTGCATTACAATCGAGGGAAAGAAATTTGTTTGATGGGCATAATTAACCAGTAATAAACATGATTATTCCAACGCAATAAGAAAAGTTTCTAGAACTAAATACAAACACCTCGAGTTATAATGAGCACGTTTTTAGTTACAGCTTACTATAAGCATAACATAATTTATGACAACAAAAAATGCTTTTCAAAGCATGTGATATTGACAAGTTTGTTTTTACATTTAAACAAAAATTAAATGTAAAGAATCATCTTGGGAAGAAAAATTTAAAATGAATCAAAATGCTTCTGACCTAAATATAATTAGTTTCCACAATTTGTTTATATTTCCATACTACATTTCTCTGAGCTTGACATAAAAATTAATCACCTTAATTCAAATATCTTTGTATAAATTGTACCCTAAGATATAGTATATCGTTTCCTTTTGTAATTATCATGTTCTTTTTTACCTCAAATAATTTTTGTAAGAATAAATAATTTTTATTGGATAAAATAAATAAAACATTACCAAAAAAACAGTAATATACTGGTATGACTTAAGTTGAATAAATCATAATTATTAATTTATAGAATAAGGGCTAAACAAGTTTTAGCTGTTGTTACAGGGTAAAAACGGCCATTAATCTATGTACATTGTGTGAGTCTACCATTAATAGTGGATTTTTCACTTAAACGAATAACTGAAGTAAAGTCCTCTTAACGTTTTAATGAATGCAGTCTGTAATTCAATGTTGAACAAAAAAAAATTAGACATTGTATAATTAATCTCAACCACATTTAATTTTTTCATCTCAAAGAATTTTTAAACATCCAGCACTACCAGGTCCAGGGGTATTTACATATATTTAAATAACTTTATACTGAAGAAATTAAAACTAAAAATTCTTTCAAATGAGATTGCCTAATTTCAATCTCAAAAAGTATCGATTATTACATTATATGTCTAATCAGAAATTAGTCAAATCAAAGAATTTTCTTCAACAATTTAAACAGGTCAACCACTAATCAGTTATAATTGAATTCAGTTATCAGTGTAGGTCCTGGTAAAATAACAATTGAATTGACAATTAATAAATAAAATAATAAAATAATTAAAAAACTTGTTTATCATTACCTTCCAGTTAAGTTGAACAAGGGAAATGCTTTCTGGAGTGTTTGCCTCACCACTTCCTCTGATATACTTATTTTTTGTTATACTGTCTAATGTGTGGCTTTTTAATTTTTGCCATGTCTATGGTTGTTGGCATTAATACTTTGCCATTGTGCTTAACGCAATCACTGTCCTTCAGCAACACAACACGTCTAGTGAAGGTGCCTGCACCACTTGATTTTTCCATTAGTTGTTCAAAAGGATAATGTTCCTGCATGAAACAAATATTGCATACCAGCTGAGCCCTCTGTAACTCTGTTTGTATACCACATACATAATGAGTACTTCATTAAATGCAGTTAAATACAATTTAACAGAATTAATAACAACAAAGAGCATCAGCTTTTCTAGTAGTAAATTGCTTTTTGCATATGTGTATGCATTGAAAGTCCATGCGCTCCTCATTTGAGGAATTCTTGAATGTGCTTTGAGCTTGAACTTTCTGTGTTAATTATTTGGAGTGACAGCTCATCGTCCGGGCAGTTCCTTCCCTCTTTCTGTTTATTCAGTGTGACAGGTGCCTGCTTCCCTTTCCCGTATGGGGGCTCATGGCTGGGTTGCCAGGATTTGCCAGCCTTGGGAGCAGTCTCCATCTAGGAGCTGGCAGATTTTAAAGTAGTCAACTAAATTTGTAAAGTAGTCAGCGCTTCCAAATCGAGCACAAACTCAAGCTACGCTCACAATTGTCCCCCCCCCCCCAAAAAAAAAGAGAATCATTTTCTATGGTTTTGTCTAACAAAAGTAGCAGGCACTCAAGACATAAGTAGCCAGCAAAAATGCTAGCCACCAGCGCTTCTGGAGAACACAGGCTGGTTATCAATATTGGAAGCTCCTGGATGTCTCAGGCACCCAACCTCCACTTAGCAATGCAATTGTTAACCATGGTTTCCAAAGACATTGATTAATAAAAATTCTTTCCTTCTCCTTAACAAAGACAATTTCCCTGACCATTAATAAGAAATGCGCCTGCATCCTTAACATCACAATGAACTTTAAAATGTTCTCTAGCATTGAATGGTCTTTAAGATCAGGGCCCACTCGTTCAAAGGCCAATCAGTATGCTAACCCAAGGTTAAATTTCAATCTGGGTTTCATTATTCCTTTTTATACAATTGCCTTTTTTTAGGCAAAAAAAAATTATCATTTAATTTTCTGCTCAAGCTTTCAAATATGAATGGCACAGATAATTGTTCATATTAAGATCTTGGGAGCGAAGGGGTTTATGCACTGCTGTACGAAAAAAGTCTGATTAATACAGTAACCCAATATAGATTTACCGGAAACTGCAATTATACAATTAAAGAATTATGCATTTAATTTCCATTTCAAGCTTTCAAATATGAAATCAAATTTCACACTTATCCTGGGTTACTTCAAACCAGTTTGAACAACCCAGCCCACCCAGAGGTTTAACTCTTAAATTATCATTTGTCATCAAAAGAAAAAAAGAAGCGACTGAAAAATGCATCCACAGACTTAATTTAATTTTTTTCTGACAGTCGCAATGTGACTACTTCCATACCTTTGAAAACTCAATTTGCATTGTATGTTTTGTAGCCAATAAATGGGATTCAGATTGAAAAGAGTTTAGCTTCCTTTAGGTAGGTATATCTGCATTATTGTTTGTTTCAGAATCACTATTAATATTGTTATCTGGAGCAAAGGATGAAACACAACGCAAACTAGTCTAAAATATTTGTATCACAACATTATTTGCATGTATTGTGACAGACCAAAAATGGATGGAGATTAAGACTTCCAGCGAATTTTATCAGCAGTTTATGGGCTTGAATGAAAAGAAAGATAAAAAAGATCAACTATTTGGTTTTAGACTAGGAACCTACCGCCGTTTCCCTCCGTCATTGAGAATTTTTATTATTTATTTATTTACTTTTTTTTTGAGTAACAAAAAAAAAATAAATAAATAAATAAGTCATTGATAAAGCTCCGTCTATTTTACCGGTGCATAATAGAGCAGCGGAGATTCAATCACTGTTTAAATATCTCATGACCTTAGGTTGTCAAGAGAGACGACATTTTTACCTTCTGCGTTTCGGAGGGCTGTCCCTCAAAGATATCTCGTTGACCTGGCAGATTTAGGCAAGCGTAGCAGTCTCTGTGTATTTCAGACTGGAAGACCTGGAACATAACTCAATTTCTCCATGAAGTAATGTTACAAAGCCTAATGCGTAGGAAAGGCAAATTCAGTTAGTAACGAACTTCAGCATGTAGTATTCTGGCAATGACATTGTTTCGCTTTCATATGTCTTTACGCAGGGGATTTTCCCAGCTGAAGGCAAGCGGATTACAAAGGGGGTCACTGTAATGCGTGAATGAGCACCACGGAAATGTCGGCAGAAGATGCGTTTGATCGCTGCAATAGTTACGGGAGATCGGACCTCTACGCCCTTTGCAATGTAGTTGTGTTGATTGCTGAAAAAACCTAGGTATGCTCTCCTTTCACTTTCCAGAGCGTATTTCGAGTAAACAACTTACGGGAAAAACCACATTTCAATTTAGTTTGTTGACATAATGATCAGCCTCTGAAAGAGATTTGAGGTGACACTAGGGCTAAAGCTAACAAAGGGATCACAGAGCGCGTCATTAGAAAGAAAAACAAAAACAAAAAAACTGTCATTTTGACGCTTGAGGGGCTTGCCATTTGCATGAACAGTAGTTTTTCAAATCCGCTGCGATTGTAAATTTCCCTGACTGTCTTGCTTTTGTTTTGATTTGCTAATGTGGGAAAGTAAATCTTTTAACTGATTTTGAGGCAGCAAAAATTTGCATTTGAAACTCCGGAATTATATTACATACGATACACAAAATGTTCTCTGTGATATCCGGAAATTTACAAAATAAATCATCACAAGACAATGCAGATATGAAGGGCTTTTATAACCAGCAGAAATACTTCTCATAAGGCCAATAACACTTCGATAAGGGACAGTGGGTAGTTAATCTGAATGAACTATTTGTAATCCATGCATTAAACAAGCCTGTAATTAGTACAAAAGTTTCCAAGTCACAAAAAAGAGGCAGTTATTTCAACAAAGATTAGCCGTTGTTTGAAAAACCTGTGTACTGAGACATTTTCAATTTAGCCCAAAACTTTTCTCTGCGCATTTATCTTTGTGATCAGTGTCAGACAAGCAATGAAAAATCGAACTGAAACTAATGTCTTTAAACAGAAATAAAGTATTTATTATCATATCAAAAAATCGGTCGCCGTCAGTTGTACTATCATCGCTAGATCCAAAAATTGATTGGTTCATCAAACAAGGGACTCTATGCTTCTATCGACCCTTCTAAAAGTTAATGGTTATCGTGTGAATATGAGTGATTATGCTTTGTTCAGGCTGACAAGTAATTCTAGCAGACTTGGTGTCTTACTCCAAAAGATGTATAAATTAGGCGATACAGCCTTCTAAATTGGTCCGGTTTATTTAAATATGATGGTAGTTCTATTATATAGGTTGGTTTCCTCTGTGTAAATAATGACGAGGTAACTAAGCCAGAGTTCATTAATTTTAATTTGGTTATTTAAAAATGCTATTGACCATTAACCATTGAAAATAAGATGTTGCCGCGATTTTCAAAAGCGTACATATATATAGCTGATGCTTTAAGAGGGTTTCTTTCTCTCGTGGAACAATTCAGTATCTCACTATTGGAGATACAACTCACTCCGGAATTTTAAAAGGGGTTCTCGTTTACGCAACGCCTGTTTCTACAAAAATGATGTGATATAGGCAGTGTTAGTCAGGGGAAAAGTTCGACTCTACTCCACAAAGTTTGATAAATTATACACATTCAAACAATTTATATGATAATACAAAAAATAACTACAAATTAATTGCTACCTCTGCTCGAAAAAAAGACAAATTCAGTGTGTTAAAATACATTGCTACTTTCCTCAATATTTTCAGTGCCACTGACTTTCTTTAAAATGGATATATTTGATGTCTATACCTTATATGTATGCATATATGCATATATGCAAATACCTATATACTCTTCACTGAATCGATATTATGTATACACTGAGAATTGTAGTCGAGCAGAGGATGTCAAGGTAGGATGTCACTGAGTGTCATGTCCGAAAGTCTGATTTTGTGATCTACAGGCAAAAATTGAAAATTTAAACCGTTCCCTTTGAAACTATTAACTGTAAGCTTCCTTATGAAAATGTCCAAACCCCTGTAAATTGGAGCTAAGACGCAGACATAATTGACAATGCCGACTTCCATTTTATAATGAGAAGGATTTTGCAAGATATTTTCATACTATCTACAGAACGTCATGAATGAATACATGACTTAGGAATTTCAAACATGTTTTTTCCCGATCAGTTTGAATTTCAAATTTCAAATTATTTCAGCGCTTTAATGGTGACTCTGCACTTAAACGAAAAAGGTGATCTCTAATTCAGGATCTTGTGGCCAAACTGGTTGGGTGGAATTACGACTATTTTTCTCATATAAAATTTCCATGTTCCATTGTTCAGCTTGTATGTCTGAGAGCAACAGTGCATGCGTGTCATCACTGCTGGCCACCAAGTTTGCATACAACTGATGATTCGGTAAAACCAATTGGTCTCCGAGTCCACGCGTATTTTCTGCCCTCTTGACTTTGGGATATACTGCCCTATTTCTTTTTTCTACGGGATTTAAACAAGTCACTTTACCTCCCTCCACATATTCTTCGCGTTTAGAGCTCGTCTCTCTAGGAATTACTTTTATGTTTTCATACAACGGAGTGTATTCCTGATCTGGCTGAGTCCCCAGATTAACATACAGCAAATCAGGTGTATCCTCTAGTAGGGAAGCCTTGCCGTTATTCAGATCAACTGCACTGCTGCCATGTGCTCCAGACCTTTTCTTTAACTTTTTAACTTGGGGATTGAAAGTTCTTGTAGTTGGTACTACTCTTCCTCCTCCATGGCCTCTTGTGGATTCAGTAACACCATTGTCGTTTTCCTCATTACCTTCAAAAGAGCTCAGGTCTCCAACTGTTGTTGAAACAGGATATAAGTAGCTAGCGTCATTGTTGATGGGTGCCTTTTGTGGCACAAGCTCTGGATTTTCTTCCAACTTAATATAGCTACTATAGACCGTTGGGTACTGATAGATATCATCCGTGACATCTAACGTTCCGTCTGTTTTTGAGTAAACATCTTTGCCGCCTGCTATTCCAGACCTTCTGCAAACATATGTGTATTCGTTCTCAGAGAAAAAGTCAGGTGAGCACATCTTCTCAATGATATCATTAGAGGAGTGTTTTTCTGAACATGTTACATGGCAGGCACCTCGTGGTTGAGGGGTGGACAAATCTGGCCATTCACTCTTGTCATGAGTTTTCAGCCATATCTTCATAATCCAGGAATTCATTGGCTCCCTGATATAAAGTAAATAATTGAGTTGATCAAGGCTAAGTCTGATTTTGAATTCCTAATTGTTGTATACGATACTTAGCTATTGAATGCATCAAATGTATTCTTTTCCTTAAGGCAGGGTAATTTCTTATAACCTCGCCGGTGAAAATGGTGATTACGTATATGTGCTTCGACCCTCTTTGTATACAAGTACTGGACGAAATATGATGATGTAACATTACTTTTTAAGTATAAATACCTGCTGGTGAGGCAGTCAAAAATGGCCAAAAAGGGAGGTCGCTGCTGTGGGACATATGCCCAACACTGATGCATAATGATATATACCCATTCAGGACAGCCTTCTGGTTTCTCTAACGGTCCATTGTCTCTCAAATGACGTAATATCTAAAAAACATCTTTAAAATCAGACATGGTTTGATGCCACTCTGATTTAATAAATGTAACCGAGAAGTCACCTTTCATAGGCTCGATTTTTCGACGCTCCTGTCTAGTGCCTTCATCAGGGGTGATCTAATCGCTGCAACGAAAGGTCCTTTTATATGCTCACCAATTAGCTGCCCTTTTTGCTAACGAGGTGTAAATGGGCGTCAAGCAGTAAGCCGCCATCATCACGATTTAAAGGAGCGTGGGCGTAGTTGATATACCAGGCTTCCAAACAAAGGCGCTGGTAGTAACGTCGATTAGAGTGGATAAGTTTAGATCTATCCCACCCAATTGTATGGTTAGTCATGCATGTGTGCTCCCACAAAGCTAAATTTTTTTTTTTGCAAATGAAGGCCGATTTTTGATGCTCTTTCAAACGTGTACCATACTGACTCGTGATCACAGTCATTGCATGGAATAAAACAAATAGCGTCACTTCGTTGACCGAGAAGATTGTTTACCTGGTTGCCATGTAAACCTTAATATATCATATTTAAAATGTTCAAATGAAGCTTGCGATTTACACAAAATTGAAAACTTAGAGCGATAAGATCACCTCTTCATTTCCCAGATCAAAGAAAGGTAGAGAGGAGTCTCTTCCATCTAGTCCATCTGCGAATGATGTATATAGCTCCCATGCAAGAATGCCAAATGACCAGACATCACTTGCATGAGTGTAATGTCCATCCAGGATAACCTCTGGTGCACTCCTACCATGAAAAAACGTCATCATGAATGCTTTAATAGACTGAGAATGTAGTTACCAAAACAAATCAGATATCTTCCTCTTTAATTGAACTATGCAGTTTCTGGTTTGGTACGGTCTAGCTCTAAATGGGCGCTCAAGTTCGCTACATCTGAGTTTCACTTGCAGCCGATGTTCCTCCGCATAAAAAGTGTAATATTCAAATCAAGTTGCTTACCAACGTGTTGCGTCAGGATGCATGGCGACCTTCACCACGCATGAAGTGCTCGTAACTTCGTATTCACTCATAACAAGAGGCTTTGAACGACCCAGACGCGCAACCTTGATCTGTAAAAATCAGATGTCAAATTTCAACCACTCACTTTGCCTTGGAAAAACCAAAGTTTCGTTTTCTTTCACATAATTATTCGTTAGTGATAATCAACATTTAAGGCTTCTCCTCTGGAAACAGGGAAGGAGAGGGGCTATTTTCCATGCACTCTCTGCGTTCATTAAGCCGTGCTTACACACGGCTGAGATTAAGAGGAAGAGAGAAAAGCAATACTCACTGCTTGCAATATGCAGTATATACCTTGGCGGGCGATACGACGTTAACATACGTCGCACGAAGGTCTCCGTGTACGATGTGATTTTCATGGAGATAATGCAAAGCAGACGCCACTTGAGATAGGAAAGTTACTATATCACCCAATTGACATCGCCTTTCGAGAACGTAATTCTTTAAATTACCAAGAGGAGCTTCTTCGGTGATCTAGTAAGAAGAAAAAAATCAATGTTTTCGGTCTCCTCAATTAGAATTCTTGGTTTCCTTCGTAAAGAATGTACCATCCATCACAAAAACTAAGACAAAGGCTATCTGTTGGTAGAGTTCCCAAATTACACTCTGAATGAAATTGTTTGAACCATGTCCGAAATAAAATGAAAAATAAATCTTTGCCCAGTCGTTCTAAAGCCATGGTGATACAGGGGTATAATTGCCAAAATTCAAAGAAACTTACGATATTTGCTATTAGACAATGTGAATCCAAATTGTCTATTTTCAAGGTAACAAGGTTTGGATGTTTGAGAGCGAGGAGACCTCTAAGGTGATGATCATCCATTGTTCTGATCTTCTCGCTGACATAGGAGTCTGAAGTCTGAAATCATAGAATCATGAATGTAACATTGTCAGAACTTATGCATACCTGGTTTTGCAGTGTTATGTAGACTGAAGGCAGAATGTGGTAAACTACCCTTGAAACAGGTTTCCAGAGTTTTGTGACAAAATTTATAGTACAACGGTAATCCTTCAATTCTTCAGACTAAATTTTTTTTAGCGCTATGCTAGCTTTCGATATCTTGTATGCGTTTGATTGCCTTACGTTGTCAATTATTTGGCATTATAAAAAAAAGCGTGTCATTATAAGGTAACGTTGTCATGTGCTTTTCGTTTAACGTATAAGAATACTCACCCGACCCAACGGAATTTTTCTTGGAAGATCATCCAAATCTAAAGATGGGTTACGGTTTGATATTTGTTCCTGAAAAGAGGAAATAAAAATGGGTTGTTAACACCATCGAACATAAGCTATACTGCTTAAAAACTTTGATTAAACAATAGAATTAACAGATAAAAGTAACACTAAATTAGTGGTCAACTAGGACATTTGAAAGGTAACTGCACCATTTAGGACCAAATACAGAATCATTTAGGCACAAAACAAAAAAATCATCAAAAATCTACTGTACAATTGAAACGGTTTTACCTTCACTCTCTCTTTGTGTGACATCAAGTTGTGTACATAGTAAGAACCTGACATGGAAAAATTAAGAGAGAAGTATACAGTTGTAAACTCACTCTGCCATCTACTGCATTAAGTTAGGAATGATAACAACGACTTTGATCATGGTATCCCTTTTATATAAGGTATGTCAAGTAAATCTTTAACCTAGCGAGTTGGATAAATAAATTTAGTCCGTCAGTCCGTCAGCAAGTCGGTCAGTCAAAGTTATTGTTGCAAACTAATACCAAAGGCACACTTTACCATTTGACAAAGTAGGGCCTTCATCGGCAGACTGAGAAGTACATTCTTTGCAAACTGAGTCTAGGGAAGAAAATTGCAACTCAGTCGTGAGTTTCAATGATAATAAAAGAAAAAATGATTATTTATGATGATACGATCTTATGGTCACAACAACAATCTTCATGGTAGACCCAAAAAACAAAAACTTCTCTTGTCTTTTTCACAGCGAACTGAACAAGATTATTTCAGAGGAAAATATTCTCAATTTCTACTCTACTTTATTCTCGATTTCTACCCCCCCCCCCCACCTTAAGAAAAAAAAGAGGAAACGATAAAACAAAACAAAAATAATAATAAGATTTAGAGAGATAAAGTAAAACTTGGCTCTTTCGTATTTCTAATGTAACACCTATTTCTAAGGGCTGATTGCAAGCTTTTTGTAAAATGAGATGGCTGTTTTGTTGAAAGAAGAATAAACGTGTACCTGAATAAGAGCAGCATGCATCTTCAATATTTCTTGTAGGCTAGAAATAAAAGAGTTATAGGACTTTATCCACAACTCATGCCTAAATACTATTAATCCACCTTGATATGGAAGTTCGAGGGAAGTTGCTCGACATATTTACTACAAGTATTTACATGGATGAAATTTTCAAGATTTGTGAGATAAGAGAAAAGTAGTGGTGACAAAAGTGGTAGATAAATTTGTGGTTGGTTTCATTGGGTAAACTGTCTTAGAATTTTGCTACTTAAAAAAATGGTATTTTTGCAAAAAAAGCAATAAGTTCTCGATATCAAATGAAACAAAATGAGAAACTTACAAATATTCCGCACGCTCTGAGGGGTGGCGGATCACACCGTACTTGCTCTTTGTCTGAAAGAAAAAAAAAACTTTGACTTTTATCATCGCTTCCAAATTGAAGCACGATTTATCAGCTTCATGGGTTCATTTGTCCATGCGTAAATTGAATGCTACAGTTATTTATCTTTTTTTTAAGGCTTGACGGCTCGCATCACCGCCCTTTTTCTCAAATAATTTTTTGCCATCATAATTATTATGATACAGGTGCTATGGGTAAGATAAAAAATTCACGTGTGTAATCACCTGCATTTTCGATCATCTCACAAAGCCTGCTTCTGACGTTATGTAGTTTGGGTCTCCTGCGTCGTTGGAATTGAAAGCACTGCTGCATCAGGCAATATTCATCTTCTTCAAAGCACGACTCAAAAGGCAGGATCTCTCTACCATTCTTCACCTTAAAAACGTAGAGCTTAAGTCTAAGTCTATGTAATGATATGTAATGATAAATTGTGAAACCATGCTGACCCAAGTGAATTTATTCGGTCTGAAATAGAGTAATGAAGGTAACGTAGCATGGTGCACACCCCACAAGGATAATTCAAGATTACGTTTCTCCAAAGATGGTTGTGGCGGAATAATTGAAGATATAAGATCTCTTTAAAGAAATTCATAAGCATTCCTTTGATTCTATTAAGGTTTTATTCTTGAGATATGGTTGCTAGTTCCTTTTTTTTATCATCAATGTCGATTGCTCGTTATCATACCACCCGTACGACCCCGCGTGCGCAATCCCATACAAAAACAATAATAAAAGCTGACGTGTGTAGGGCCGGACAAGCTGACGTGAGCTGAGGCAGAAAAAGCCGTCTGCGCCTGCACTCAAACGGCTCTTTCGCATTTTCCGAGAATGTAAATTTAAATTGTGGACTTCAACTAAGATTTAAAAAAAAAGCGACAAAAGGAGTCACTCCTCTCGATTAATTTTAAGTTTCTTATTCAGACTTTAAGAAAACAAAATGTTTTTACTGTCGAATCTTTTAAATAGTTTTCCGATGTGCGCCTTTCTTTTGTATGTAAGTCCTTGGAAGTTTGGTCGGGCCGGACGGGAAGATATTTGGGTTATATGACGCACGGACGTCGCTACACTCGATCTGTACGTCATCATCCAGCCAAAGTTTTCTTATTAGGCCCTCCCACTCAGTCTTAATGTAGACAACATTTCGAAGCTGTCAACCGCAACAGTTTTCACTAACCGATTTTCTTCCTTCATATTGTGAGGAATATTGAGCTTATGAGCAGAAGTGGGATATGTATGGAAATTGATAGAATTACTCACTCTTGAGTACAACTCCTCATTGTCCGAGATGAGTCTGTAGGGAAGACACCCGTAAGTAAGCACCTCGTACATTAGGACCCCAAGGGCCCACACATCGGAGGCAGTAGAAAAACGGCATTCTAAGAGAACTTCTGGTGCCTTCCATCTTAGCGGAAGCTTCTCCTCATTTCCTGAGTTGACAAAATCTGGGAGATCGTCATCAGATGAGCAATAACTGTACAATGAATCGGGATCTTCAGCTGCGAATAAGGAGATTCGATGATTTTTATCATCGAAAAATTTATCGATTTATTACCAATAGTAGTAGTTATGACCGACTGACTAAAGGACTAATTGAGTAAATATATGAACAAATAAAGAAATCAACGAAAGGAAGGAAGAAAGCAACGAAGAAAGGGATAAGTTCGTTAGTTGGTCTGTCAGCTAGTCAGTCATTTAACAAGCTAAAATCATTTCTTACTCTGTCTGGTAAGCTTCCGAAGGTGTTGCATACCACTCAATTTACAGATGTATCCGTCTCCCACGAGAACGTTTGCCGCCATTACAGCGCGGTGGACCAAACCTTTTTCTTCTAAAAAGAGGAGTGCGTCAGTGATATCTAAAATCATCTTAATGAGTTGGACTGGTTGAATAGGATGATTTGGCCCGCGTGACCTCTGAACAAACTGCAACAGATCTCCTGATTTTTCAAATGCGGTAATAAGGTGGTATGGCAGGGTTTTAGTGCTGTATGTCAACAAAACAGGGAAGTTTGGATGCCGTACTGCGTTTAATAGTCGTAGGTTTTCGGCTTCTCGTCTTAGACTCTCTTTAGCAAGAGTGTTAGGGTTCTCTTCCACGAGATGCTGCTTTTTCACCAAGAGAACTTTAACAGCTACTTTCCTTCTCTGGAACATACCATGATACACGAAGCAAGTTGGGCTTTTACTTATGGTTGTACCATTGATTTCTAGTGTCTGAGTCCTGTACTTCCAAGAAAGGTGTTTGGTGCACTGCATTGTGTCAATTTCAACCCGCCGGTTTTCGTTCTTATTTAAAAAAATAGTCAGAAGTTTCCTGGTCTCTACATCAGGACAAAACAGGGCTTTCTCGGATTGGCTCTGAACGATAGCCTTGCATTCTGGGGTCTTCTGCACTTTCGAATCTTTTAGAAGATATACCAAGGTGCTACCTGCCGTTGTCCTTATTTCTATTGGGGAAATTAATACGTAAATTATTTTTATCCTCGAAGATACGATCGAGAGAGTTGGCTTGCAAAGTTTCGACTTTGACCTATGACGAGGTCTCATTGATCGCCTAACGGCCCGTTTCGTAATTAATCTCACTATAGCCTCGGCTCTATTTGCTTTTTGTCCCCTCGGTAAAATGTTACAATTCTGATCTTACAAACTTTAACGTAATTCATACTTTTCGTTATTGATAGTTTCTATATTTCACCTTTTGTCTCGTTCTTCAATGAAATGTCGGAGAACATCGTAGCTGCCAGCATACAAAACCTCCAGTCCTGTCCACCATTTCCTTCAAGGTACTTTTCTACGAGAGATCTGAGGAGATTCATAGCGCGTCTCTCGGTCTCCATTCTTGGAGTAGGACGTTCACTGTGCACCTATGCAGAAAGGTAAATGCAATTTCTAGCATGAACCATGTTCCAACATATGGCTTTCTTTATTTCTCTATAATAAAAGAGAACCTAATACACAAAACCCACAGTAGCTCCTTTCCAGGTTCCATTTTAATTTCTTAAGTTTGGTGATGACTGTTCAGTAGTAGACGCCTTCTTTTGGATGGATCTTAAAGCTTAGCATAGTCATCACCCCGCGAGCTCAGCATTCGCAATTGATAACTGTCCATCCAGTATATGTTTTCATGAAAGTGTACCGTCAGTTGAATATGCTGTTGTTATTGTTATTTATCGATGCGTTTTTACAATAGAACGGAATCATAATTTAGGCTTCTCAGTCTTAATTCTATCTTCTTTCAGCTCCTACCTTTCCTTGGAGGTAAATAGCGATGTAGTGTAGATCAATCCGCCAGTCGCCTCTCCTCTTATACTTAAGCCGACGAAGAGCCATCAAATCATTAACTTTAATTTCTTGGTTTTGGCAGAACTCTCGACATTCATCTAGAAAGCTCTGCAACTTGTCATTGGGCTTTAAAAGATGGGTAATTGCTTTGATGATAAACTCTGTTGAATATCGGAGACCATCCTTTTTTTTATTGCTCAGCGCCAAACTAAATGTTCTAAGCTCGTCTTTTATCTTTTTCAAATCTTGTTCCAAACAATTCATGGACGAATCACCTTTCAGAACTTGATGCGTAACTAGCAAGGAGATAATACGGCTGTACACCGTCAGTTTAAGCTCTCGGATTTCTCTTCTTGAGTCGACCCTGCCTCTTATAAACAATCCCTCGGAGGAGAGGATTGATGATCTTATAATTGCCTCCACAACCAGCAAATTGTTGTAGCAGTTGTCAAAGTTGTCCTTGCCGATCAGATGAAGAAGCAATTGAAGTGCTTGGCTTACGGCTTTGTCACATTTTGCACTGCAAGAAATTTTGGCCAGATTTTCATATACTTCTTCATTGGAAGAGGAACATTTTCCCCACGTTTCTTCCAGATAGGGGAGGATGCTATAGAGTAGGAAGTCTTCTTTGGCATCTTTGAGTGGACCAGTGTTGTCATCCATGTCTCGGATGAATTTTCCTGGTTTCTCGAGGAAATCTCTGTTAGACCAATTATACGTAGGCTCCCCTGAAAAATGTTGTCATAGCAGTTAAGAATTAGATTGTATTCTTGTCGAAGATTCCTTGCCACTCAATTTTCCTTGAAGGACACAGCACCGTGGAGCAGCATATCAAGGTTCATGCAAAACTATAATTTACTTGGATCCATTTGGGGTTTGAGAATATTATCATTTGTGCGTGACTCAAATCCTTTTTGACGCTGTAAAGGAGGATTTATCACCCGAAAACGATATAGTTCAGTAATGCGCCGATTTGCTGCTTTTTATAATATGTAGAAGTCACCATTTGTCATTGTGTTTGCTAAGAGATACTTACCAAACTGGTTGCGAAATCTCAATCATTTTAGCCAAACCATAACCATCACGAATTGATCTTTGGATTTATCTTAAATTACCTTTATTGAATAAAATCCCTATTCCAGGCCTCGTGTTCCACTTTGCCTCATTTTCTACGTGACGTCGATGAACTATATCTCCATTCGGCAATCCATCGCAAGTATATGAATTCCCCTCTTCACCTCTGGAATTGTCTAGAAATTGTCCTGTCTCAGTAGAAACTTGTTCATCACCTGAAAAATAGTTAGAATTTTGAAACTCGTGCCAGGTTTTTCTAAACGAATTTTTAAAACATCTTCCATGTATTTGTTCTATGGCAAATTTTGATTTTTGCCGTCTCTGTTTCCCTTCTTCCACACTGAACGCTAGCGATAGTTTGTCACTGATCCTTCCAGTTTGCATCACGTTTTGAGTATTTAAACATGTTGATATTGTGCCATTTCGTCCGGGTTACGTCGCCCCATATAGTTTACCAGGCTTTGAATCTGACCTGAAGCAACCTTTTTTCAATTAGAAAGTCCCTTCCCTAGAACTAAAATCATCATCGTTTCGTTGCCTCGTGCTCTTAAATTTACGCGAAATTTATTCATCTTACTTATGTATCCAAGTATCAGAAGACAAATTAATCGCTGCTTGTTTGTCTACAAATGATCATATCTCCCTTCAGTTAGTCTTTCCTCTTGTGTTCCGACAAGCGCTTTTTTTAATTTATCCCCTCAAACGGAAACGAAAGTGAGAAGTAATGACGAAGACGGATGTTAGCGAGCAATAAAAAATGTGTTTTGCGTGACGTGCCTCATCTCATGAAAATCTAATCCTTTTTTCCTCTTGACCCAGCCAGTCTCAAAATATCGATCGAAAAAGCAGTATACGGTGTTAAGATTACAAAGATTTAATTGGTGCCAATGCAATTTCGCTGAGCTCATCTGCTGGGCAATTCATTTCTACTTCAGAAAAAAAAGAAGTACAGTGCGCTGCGTTAACTATAACCATGACTACCACTGTTGAAAATTAAACACTTACGTTCCGTGAGGGGGTTTGATATACATAACGATACAACCATCCCAATAAAAAGGAAAGAAGGAGAAAATCTGCTGTAGAACAAAGAAAAATTCAATTTATAACAAAAATATTATCACAGGGTACCTTTAGAAATCGCCCAAGGAATGTTATCTTCAGAATCAGAGCTTCCGCTCTCGCAAGATTCATTGGGCGAGGTTTCGATGTCTCCTAAATAGCCAGTGTCCTTCACAACATTACTTTCAAGATGACTTCTCTCGTCTTCAGTGCTGAGGCCTGTTTGGTTTAAAAAAAAAAAAAAAAAAAAAAAATCGGTGATACATTATTGCTCATACGTCACCCTCCTCTACGATCCTAAAGTTCCGCTGTTACTTTGGCATAAACATCATTTCAAAACTTACGAGCTGTATACATATCCAAAACCATAATCTGAATCAGCAGTACTAACGTTTTTCACTCACCAGGCTGCTTTTGTGCTTCCTCTGCAGCTCTCACAAGCTCAGACCAGTCGATTGTCTGGGGGTAGTTTTGGGCTTCACTGGCCTCTTTAGAAAATCTAAGCAGCAAAAATGTTTTAATTCATAAGAACTTAAGAAGCACGCTATCATTAAAAAAGCAAAAACTAATGTGTCTGATAACCTTAAGGTAGCCGCCACGTTAGATCATTTTTACCTACGCACTTCTAACGCATATCAACCTGAGTGACAAAAGACTCACTGCAACAGTCTAGCGGCTGATGTCAACCCCTCGGGTCTCTATTAGAAGTAAAAGTGGATCTATCATCGTATATTATGACCGTATCTCAGCACGCTGAATAACCCCAATCTTTTTGCAATCTTAATCGTATTTAAATCACTTCATTTCAAAGTCAAGTGCAAATGAGTACCTGCCAGTTATCTCCTCAAGTAAAGCAGCTGTCTTCTCGTGCCCATACTCTCTGGCAATAGCTTCGGGAAGGGCTGAGCTGTTTTTGTAACGGTCATAAACTACTCTTCCGGCGGACGAGTTGAAGATCATTTCAATGAATTGTTGACCACCAGTTTCTGCTGCAACGTAAACTAAGACGCATAGCATCTGCTCAGGTTCGGTGCAACCTAAATAAAAAAGGGTGTTTACAATTATGGGCAGCCAAAAACAGTCATCAAACGAATTCCCCAATCAAGGAGAACTGCCTGGCAAGAACAGCTAAGTGCTAAATTTTATCCACTATTCTGCTAACACTTCTAATAAAGTCAAAGTCCGGTGTGAAACAAAAACATTGGTATAAAATTGTTTCCACAAAGGTATAATTCTTGATGATGATGAATATTCAGTATGACAATGCAGTACGCATGGAAGGATGTTGATTGCTTTAACATTTCATATTTTCAGAAATTGAAGGGTATATATGATTACGCAGATAACGCGCGATTGGTCTAAACGCAACACCTGAATGAATATCCCCCAATTAAACTTCAAACCTTACGTCTACTACGATTAGCCATTGTTTCAGACTTATTCGAGAAGGGAGAGGGTTCGGTGGTTGTTACAGAAGAAGGGAAATCTTTTTTGTTTGTTCACTAGGTCGTAACTGAAAACACTCAAAAGAAAACATCCCACGCTGTATACAGTTATGTACCAATATTTTTCCTTGAACTTAATCTGTTCCTCGAAGCTTTCAGTTTTCTTCGAGCTTCGCTCGCAGAAAATCTGTTCGCATCTTGGAACAAATAATTTCTGCGGGCAAATATCTGTGCATATTTTCGCGCCCTAAAGAGGCTATCGTCTATTTGTAACCCAAACATTCATATCTGGGACAATATATCTTAGCCACAGACATTATCAAAATTATAAAAATTGATTGACAAATTGATAGTAAGATTAATTGTGAGATTGATTCAAGATTCAAGCCCTGCAGAATTCTCGACTTTTTCTTAAAAAAAAGGCAACCATTTAGGATGTCTGCCTTAATTTGGGTCAATTGGTTTTCATGAAAATTAGAGGCATTCAATGATGCACCACTCGCCAACAATTCGAGAGTTTTGTGCTTCAGCGGCACTGGCTGTTGTAGTGTTACTTTTCCTCAACTTCTCAGAATGATATTGAAAAATATCCGCCTGTAACACCGGGTCACTTGTTATCCGTTGAAGAAATTCTTTTCTTTCATTGTAGTACTCAATTTCCGTTTCGCCTAGCTCTGTACCATCTACTCGTCGTAAAAATACTCTAACCACTCCTGGTGCTTTGGAAGCTATGATGAAGAAAAAAGCAAATTAATGACTATCATGATCAAAATTGCTGATGATGCATAGCTCCAGTAGAGCCAAAAAGAGTATACAGTGTATGTCCCAGTATTGAAGAGGGTATGGAGTTCCATACTTTAGGTCCTTGGAAAAGTATAGAAAACTTTTTCTACATTGGTGCTGCGGTGGTGAGATCAGTAGAGGAGTCGTAGAACTCTGCGTTTTCTCGTTCAGTTGTGATGGATTTGATTGGCAGGTCGAAAATTTTGGCGAAAACAAAATAGTAACAGATTATTGTGATAAGATACTTGGAGGAGCTAACCTGAAGGAAATAATTATTTTAAATGTCTAGCATTTTTTCATTTTTTAAAGATAAGTTTACTAGGTGCTCTCTAATGAGCCTTAGAAATTAATCGAGCAACACACTTTTGAAGTTAATAAATTATTCGTATATTTGCGACATAAGCTGAGGCCCAGATTAAACTACAGAATGTGATATATTGCGAAATTACTGCGTAATATAACGAGCAGAGAGAATTTTTACGCTAATAATAGCTAGCTACATATATGAACCCAATAGAATTGGCCATTGTCTTTTACAAATAAGATCTTTGCGTGTTTGCCATGTTGAGTGTTAATCTATATAAACTCCTAAAAATTTTGCTATATCTGCTAGCTCTACAACATGATTATCTACAATTAGTTAGTTTATTTGAAGTATAAACGTTTTCGCTTGGGCTTAAAGATTAAAGCTTGCAGCCAGGCAGACATATTGTGAAGTTCAGAATTTAATTTGCTCATAGGAACATTTGGTCCTATGCCCACCCAGACGATCAGACTACACAATCCAACAAAATATTCACCCCACCCCCCGAGTTCCAATCATTCATTGTATAGGCAGTAAGAATCAACATACGTGGAATTTTCCTTCCAATAAGGGAGTCTTCGCCACACCTCTTAACTTCAACAGTGTCCAGATTCTCGAAGATAGCTAATGCAGACTGCACATTCCCAGGCAGCGCTCGACCAGACGAAAAACAACACAATTTACCACCCTGGAAAACAGAAATCTGTGGCATTACGAAAACTAAAACGTTCAGGATGATCACCATACCGTGTAGAGCTAGACAAATTAATCCATTTCAATACAGCCAGAATTTCCTTAACAGCACAATAAGTACTAAGTAGTTTAAATTGATTTTTTATCTATTCATTTGTATGTTTATAGGGTTTCTCAGTAGAATAACCTCATTATGGCTGATTTCCATACAAAAATTCCAATACAATTATAGCATTGTAACATGCATATGACAGAAAGCTACCTGAATAAGCATTTCAATCACATACGGTTTGCTCTGAAACAATAAAAAATACCTCACTACGATAATTTTTTACACCCTTGCCTTTAGAGGAACTCTTTTCGGCTCGACGCTGATGCGAAAGTACTCATCTTCATGTGGCGACAGATCATCTGCGGAACACCAACGAGATTTTAAAAAGAATCATCATGGACCTACAATTTCTGTAAATTCCCACCAGCTCGTTTGTTGCCTTCTCTGAAATTATAGCACATCACTGATCGTTACAAATTAGAAAATTTTAGTGTAATTTCAAATTAACTTCACGCCAATTTTAAATCATTCATCCGATTACTTCCTGATTTGTACTCCACTTTGTCCTACTAATGTTTACTTATAGAACTAAACGTGTAAGGATTTATGAGGATGATTTGAGTAACTTTCCACGCAAAGCTGCAAGCATGGTTTACAGCCTCTTACCAAAGGACAAGTTGTGATCAAGTCCAGAAATACCACTAGTTGTTGTGTGATTATCGGCTGAGCAGTCAGACGTCTATTTAAAGAAACAATGAAAGGTCATGTAATGTTAGGCGTTAAAACACTAATCAACATTAAAACACCCATCTTGCTATTCTTAGACGATAAATGAACACTTTGAATTTAAATGCTATTGCCTTTTGATTCTTTACATTCAACACTATAAATAAAACCCTTATTAGGCTTGTACATAATACTTTTGCTTTCCCACTTAAATGCTCTCTTTAATGCTCCTTTTTTCCCCACAAAAATGCTGTCTCCCCTAAATAAGTCTCTACAATGCTTGGATATTGCTCATTATACAGATACTTTTATTTTATTTATTCCAACATTTTAACAGAGTGTTAAAATGTGAAGTAAAGGTATAAATGAATAAATGGTATGACAACATGGTCGCCTTTTTGTTAGCCTTGAGTCCTGAAACCTTAAAGCGCTGACCTCTACCCAGTCTCTGCTCAGCTGCATTACATTTGAAATTTGTTCGGATTTCAAGTTCTCTTTAATTTTTTTTTGTCATTATTTTTGTTATCATCTTCTCCGAACAAAACATTTTTCCCGGTGAATTCAAGGATTTATTATTCCTCTATTAAAAGACTATTATTTTCCTTTTTTATATATATATTATCGATCGCATAATGAGTTCGCGAGAGACGAAAACAACATGAACAAAACCGTTCAAATGTTTTTTGCGACCAACCAAAAATCTGTAGTGTTTAAAGTTCAATTAATATCAACAGAATATTTATACAGACTACAAAATCCTGAATTCAGTTAGCAGCTAAATTTTTTAATATCAAAATGGATGTAATAAATAGTTGATAATTACATGACAAGGTCATCATTTTTAACGAGCAATCACTTTCTAATTTTTGGCTTGCTATGAGATGAGAAGATCTTACTTCCATCAATAGATCCTCCATTGTGTCCTGGTCTAGACCACCATCTGCTTAAGGCAAAAAATATATGCAATGTACCTCAAAGAAAGTATTTAAAAACGGGTTTTATGAGCATTGGACAAAGGTGACATCTAAGTCCTTCATGAGGAGGCGAACCAAGAACGTTCAGATTCAACAATGCGATTTTCTATGAATGAGCTAAAGAGAAGAGCAATGCTGAGCTAGACCATACACTAAGCTAACACAAACTAACAATTTATCTCATAAATTCCCGATCAATACTAAAATCAATGT